ATCATTAAACAAACCAAATTCCATCCAATTAATTATCATACCATATCAAAACATATTATTATACACAAAAATCTTCTAATTAATTAAACATTTCAAAATTCCAGTCTAAGAAACTCAACATTTTTTCATTTTCAGTACATAACTTCCCTCTAAATCAATCTATTATTCCAAGGAGTGCATTCTTAGTCTCTATAAAGCCAAGTTTCTTTTTTCACTCCACATTTCCATACCAAACAAATTTCCATAAAACAAAAAAATAATCAAACTAAATTAAACTCATGAATATAATTGTAAATTCTTACTTCTAAGTCTAAATTATTATCCTTAAAACAATCCATAGAACCAACATTGCCTTTTAATCCATTAAACAATTTTAAATTTCTTTTTCAATCTAATTCTAGGTTTTCTTCTATGCCACACAGGCTTCCATAGCAAAGCTTTCCTTTCAGCCAGTGAATCCATTTTTGTTGCTTGTAGAATTCTTTGAGAAAGTAAAAATCCTTTCCTCTGCAATAAACATCTTTTCCTCTTCTCCTTGCCACATCATTGCTTTATAGTTTGAAGTCTTAGTCTTTGCTTCTTCTGATTCTCTAAGTTGCAGAAGAAGGGGTTGTCAAATAAAATAAGTTCCTCTACTGTCTCTAGAGATTCCTCTTCTGTTATATTTTGATTTATACCATAATCAGATATAACCTGGAGATCACTTTGAACAGATGTAGTAGAATCTCTAGATCTTGGTTCTAAAGTACAGTTTTTAATTGTAGCACATATTTCAGCAGAAGCCTCATAGATCTTTTCCAATATAAGTGCATAGTTCAATTGTAGCTGAGTCTCCATTTTAGATACTAATGCTTAAAAGAAGATCGGATTTTCTTTTTGTGGAGGCTATATTTAGTACAAACAACATCCACCTCCACAGCTTCCACAGCTGCACATCCTATCTTTCCCTCCAAAGTGTTTTGAAAATCTTTAATAGAATAGCCAAACTTGTAGCGTCAAACTTTCGCCAGTAGATGTCCTCAATGAATTAAATAAGGTTTTTCCAACAATTCATTCCTTCTTTCTGTCTTCTAAAGTATAATAATATACAAGAAGAAAAAAATAATAATAATACAGTTCATACAAAGAGGGAAGAAAGAAGATCTTTTCCATCTTTTTTCTTTTTTTGTATCCAAAGGGAATATATATATATATAAGTAAAATATAGTCTATTTCTATGTTTACAAAACGCCTTTCTTCCCAAAAAATGCAGAAGCCGCCTTTCCAAGCCACGGAAATAATTTCAAAAGCTCTTACAGTTTTCAGGAAAAAAAAGAAAAAGAGAAAAGAGAGAGTTGAAAATAAAGTTCTCACCCGGGCTCACCACAGGGGCACTCACAGCTTAGATGTTCTCTGACTTACGGTCTGAAGTGGCAGGGTGATCGGCCATTTTACTGGCTGATCTTCTTCTCCGTCGGCCCTCAGAGATTCATCCAGACAGCTGGAGGAGCCGCCGCTCCTCCGCAGCCGGACAGCAGCCTCCTTGATGGAAAGTCGCACCCTCCAGGGCAACTTTGGATCCGTATAAGGGTCCACCGACAGAGGGAAAACTAGCCGGCGAGAAGTGTCTCCTTACGACTAGCGACACCGCGAACCAGAACCGGAAGTCCGGGGGGGGTTGTTTATTTTTTTAATGATTTAATCTGAATTTTATGAGTATGACTTTGTTGTGTGGATAATGATTGCCACGTTGTTTCGTAAGCACTTGTCTGTAAAATGAAAAAAACCATTAAAACTTGTTTTTTTTTTTTAAAAAAAAGAAAACTTAACTCCCACACAACATAGGCTTTTTCACTCTTTTTATGAAGAGAAGGGAACAAAAATTGAGATCCCAGCCAAAACAAAGAATCTGTTCATTGATTTGGCTGAAAGAATAGCAGACTCCCTAAATGTTATTGTTATGTGTGTGGTGGATCTAACATGGGAGAACAATGGCCCTGGGAGACAAGAGAGATAGATCTCTCTGGTATAGCTGAGATGAATCTCACCTGGACATCACAGGATAGACCTTTTCAGTGGACTACCCAAACTTCTATAATAGGTGAAGTATGTTTTATAAGAGAAGCCTCTGCAGACTTCAACACTCCAGTAAGACAGTTGGTTTGTGAAAATGGAATAGAAACAAATGGAACAGTAGGAGGTAACCTTATTAGGACCTGGTGGAGGGGTGAAAATAGAACTGAGCCCTCCAACCCTTTTGAAAATATTACTCAATTGAAGGAATTATGGGGTAGCCCAGGAAATATTTCCCTAAGATGGAAAGCACCTGATGGGATGTATTGGATTTGTGGTAGATACGCTTATAACATACTTCCCAAAGGATGGAATGGAGCATGTTTCTTGGGTGCAATCAAACCCAGTTTCTTCCTTCTCCCAATACAGCAAGGAGAAAAATTGGGAATCCCAGTGTATGATGAGATAGGTCATAGAGAAAAACGAAGTATACAAATATCTACTCAAAGAAAATAAGGTGAGGAAGAATGGCCTCCAGAAAGAATCATACAAGTGTATGGACCAGTCACATGGGCAGAAGATGGAAGGTATGGTTACCGAACCCCAATATATATACTTAATAGGATAATAAGCTTGCAAGCTATATTGGAGATTATTACTAATGAAACAGCTTCAGCTTTAGATATACTTGCTAAGACTAGCACCCAACTACATACAGCAGTATATCAGAATCGCTTGGCTTTAGATTACTTGTTAGCAAAGGAGGGGTGTGTTTGTAGAAAATTTAATCTAACAAATTGCTGCCTTCAGATAGATGATCAAGGTAAAGTAATAGAAGAAATCATTGCTAAAATGAAGAAACTAGTTCATGTCCCTGCACAAAAATGGACTGGTATCACCTCTTGGCTAGGTCAGGTATTTGGGGGAGGATGGAAGAAATGAGGAACCATTTTGATTATGGCAGTAGGAGGGTTGCTTCTGCCCTGCCTCTTACCCATTATGGTAAGAACTATTCAATATTCCATTGAACGTATGTAAGTAACTTTGGTGCAGAAACAAATGCAGAATGGAGAGAAAATGCTAATAATGAGAGTAAAAGATAAAATGCTGAGGAAGATATAAGTTTGTTGCAATGGGCTGAAGTATAAACAATTTCTGCTAGTGTTAAGAGAGAAGGGGTGGATTGTAAGAGATAAAATAATATCAGAAATTGTTTAATGATATATGAAAGTACAAATCCATCTATTTTAAAGATATACAGACGGGTAATACATTGGCAGTATCATATGAAGACATTCAATAAGATCAGCTGGAATTTAAGCAGTAAGCTTAATAATGACAAAATGGAGTAACTTCAGCTTTTAGAAGTGGGGGCTTTGACACATGCAGGATAATTACTTTGAAATATGTAGCTTCTGTAGGAAGCTAGATGTAACCGCAAACAGGAGGAAATATAGAAATAAAGATAGGGCTAATGTCAGCAAAGGTCATGATTAACAATTATATTCTTGTGGAAAACGAAAGACTTTTAGGAATTCCAGAGGGTGTAACAGAGAGGTTTATTTGCACAAGGTTCAGAAGCGATTAACAACCAGCAAATTCTGAACAAAGGGGGTGGGTTCAAACTACAGTTTTATACTTTCCATTTCTCAGGAACAAAAGAAGCTCACATGGAATCTACATTGTATATCATTCGGTTAGTTTCTCACAGGCATACAATTAAGAGAGTTTTGTTTCATACAATGTTTCTCAATGTGCATTAGGTCAGTCATGTATCGTTAACACAGCTTTTGCTAACACAGCTTTCTTCCAGGAATTATGCAGATACATCATTTTACTTGAATAATGATTTTTCATCATCATCATTATTCTACTTTATTCTTCATGTTATTCTACTTTATTCCACTTTAATTTTAAATATAAGGGCTTTTTCCTGTGAGGGGATGAAGTGAAATGTATTCTGTTTAGGCACTTCAGATTAGTTGATCGGGATAAGCAGGTGGATTATTGAATGTGATAGGGGTGGGGGTGGGGGAACCAGCTTCGTGAGAGGGTATAAATATATGCTTTTAGAAACTATGTGTGTGGCTTAATCTCCTGTGTGAGTTTAAGACCACCAGCCTTTGCAAAAGCTTTTTTTCAATAAAATTCTGTTCCTGGAATCCCAAGTATGTCTTTGGAAATCTGAGCCATGTTCCAGACACCTAAAGTCCTAAATGCAGAAAAATCCAGTGCTAAACTTTCATCTCCACAACTAGTGCATCTAGTAGATTCAAAAGCCTATGGATCTGCAGATGAAGCATGGGGAAATCCATGCTTTCTTTTTTGCAAAAGGCAGGATTTTTCAGTACAGTATCTGGATGCATAAGGACAAAAAGATCTGTGATTTAATTGTGGCTTTTTTGTTAAGAAAACTCTGAATTATTTTGCAGTCAGTTTCTGAATGGATAAGCGTCAGAACTAATTATTAGAAGAAATGTATTAATATGAATTTATGTCTCTCTTGATGTGAGCTCATGAATTATACAAGTAGTCTTTGACTTACAATCATTAGTCCTTTGAAGTTACAGTAGCACTGGGAAAAGTGGTTTATGATCATTTTTTACATTTATGACAATTACAGCGTTCCCATGGTCACATGATCAAAATTCTGCCGCTTGGCAACATCCATGTATTTATAACAGTTGCACTGTCCTGGGCCATGTGACCACTTTTTGCAACTTCTGACAAGCAGCCAGATTCACTTAACTAATTTAATTGTAACGATTCACTTAACAATTGTCTTGTTTAGCAACGGAAATTTTTGCCTCAATTGTGGTCGTAAGTGGAGGATTACCTGTAGTCAAATGACAGAGAATCAGAGTAACTAATGGTGAATGAGTCAAGAGCGGAGCCACTATAATTATACCGTTAAACCATTTCATAAACAACAAGACCATAGCGATCTATTTCGAAACGCCATTTCTCAGGCTCGAAATAATTCCATATTCCAGCGTTCTTCGCCGTGACTCAACGCGAGCCGCAATATGACCCGAGAGCATGGGGGCGAAAAAATAGGAAATCGATGATAAACTCGCTTTTCTCGCGGGATATCTTACTCTCGTGGGATCCTTCCTAGCTCCTCTGTCAACAAGTACCTCTGAGGGAACGCATGCGCAAATTCACTTTCCTCCTTGACCCTCGCCGAAAAAAAGTTTTCCTTCTCGTGCTTTATTTTATTTCTTTTCGTTTTTGTTTCCGTGAGCCCCGCCTGCTCCTTGCACTTCCGGTTCAGTCGGTGCGGGGGCTGTCTGGGATGGTCCTGGTGGCGGCGGTCCTTGGCTTGGGAGCGGCGACTTGATGGTCTTTCCAGGTGAGCGGTGTTGGCTGTGGTCGGTCCTTCCCTGCGGGCCCAGCCGCCTGGGCCCCGCCTAGCTGTCCCTCTGCAGGAGCTGGTCGTCGCCCCCATCCCTGGCGCCCACCGGCCTTTTGTCTAAAGGGGTCTGCTTCTGACTGTCGGGGTCCGAGCTCCTACTGTGGGAGGCAGGTTGGTATTTGTTGGGAGGCCCGCTGGAAGGCATTGGTCCCCGGTTAAGAGGGTTGACCGTATCTGCAGGAATGTACTTGTCTAGCCGTTCTTTTCTCCTTCCAAGAATCTTAGTGGATCTGTTCAGGCATTTTAATCCAGCATCCTGTTTCCAAGAGTGCCCCTGTGGATATAGCTAGAATATGAAAATGACCTCAAGATCCTGGCCATTTTATTTATATTTTATAGAAATGGGTAGCTGATGAATTTGCATTTTAAAAACTCTTTGGCAGTACTTTTTTCATTGTATTTTATATCTGCTTCCATATGCACAAGATAATTTTTTCATTTTTTGCAGTAAACCAGTTAATCTCTGAGTAGCAAAGTATGCTATCCTATCAAAAGATTCCTGCTAATTCTGCTTCTCTAAGTGAGCCCTCCATGCTAGTTAGAATCAGGTCAAGGATAACTTTTTGGGCCTTCACTGTTTGAAGGAGAGAGTTGAAAACAAGAGTAGTTAAGAATTTCTAGGAAGGATTATGCTTGGAAAAAAATAGTCTTCCATCAGGTGTTTTGAAATAAAACTCCCCTATCATTATTATGCCACTTTGGTTCTCTGCTTTGTTTTTAGCTAACAGTTAGCTTTCAGTCTTTAAAACAGCAGAAGAACAATCCTGCTGGATCAGGTCAAGGCCATTTTAGTCCATTTTGTTTCTCACAGGCATCCAGCTGCAGGGAGGAATAATAAAATGCAAAAGTTAAGTACATTCTTAGGTTTGTTCATTTGGATTTCTGAGCAAAAATTAATATTTTAAAATCACTGCAACTTCTCTTCCCTTCCTATTTTCATTTCAGATCAATTGTTTCCTACAGTGGGACTTACTTCTAAGTAGATTTACATAGGATTACACTGTTAACTTCTGGTTTCTCCTCATTTTAAAATTAATTCCTCAGAAAGATAAGCTACATGTCAGGTTATATGTCTAATACTCCATGTATGGCATTTGGGAGTGGGGGTTGTCCCCAGAATGAGCTGATTGGTGGTATACAAGGACTATTTTATGCATTCTGAAGATTATTGAATTCTGAAAACAGTTCTAAACCACTTACTATTTTGAACATTTTGAATTATATATTGTTGATCTAAATTATGCATGCCCAACCTTTTGGTTTGCCTGGGCTGCATTGAGTGAAGAGGAATTGTTCTTGGGCTGCATATAAAATGTATAATATAAAATATATAATATAGTTAACATGTGTATTAATCACATGTTAAAAGTTTACGATCTTGTGGGGCCACATGTAGCCCATGGGCCATGGGTTGGAGAAACCTGGTCTAAATAGATCATTGGTTTGACTTAATATAATAAAGGTTTGTATATTTTAAAACATGAAAAAATAATTTCCATGAACTGAGCTATTTGTGAATATTTTTGTAAAATAGAATATTGTCTTTGAACAAAAAGTAAAATCAGGGTAAAATAACTATTTTTTATTTCAGTACTTGTATTTTAGATTGAAGCTAGCACTAATGCTAACATTGGCAAGCAAACTGAAACGGGATGATGGTGTCAAGGGCTCCCGTACTTCCAATCCCATTTCAGACTCTACTCGAAGAGTGTCAATTAGAGATAAATTGCTTGTTAAAGGTAATATATTTTCCTATTTAAATATATTTTCTTTACTTTTTGTGTTAATTCAACTGAATGTCATACAATTATCTGAGGGGTCCTTGGTGCTCGCTGAGCTTGCTTGTTTTCTTGTAGACATTTCATTACCCAAACTAGGTAACATCATCAGTGCTAGTAAGGAGTGCAGTGTGCTCTATTCTAGTGGCTTGCCTGTCAATGTTGGTGGGGTGGTGTTAGAGAATCTTTGATTGGGCTGTTTGCTTCTTTGCCTGTTCCTTGACTGGGATATTGTTTACTTGATTGTTGTTTGTAATTTATATTGCTGTTTCATTTAGAGATAGTATATGAAAAAGTAAATGGGCTTCAGTATTGTAATAGAATGTTCTCTACAAATGTGTAGTTTAAGTTTTCATTAATTTTTATATTTGTACCCTACTGTAATCACTATGACTCTGGATAGATGTTTGGCTGATTTATAAATGCTATAAGAGCAGTATATTATGGAGATGAAGTGAAGTGGAATAGTTTAACATTAAATAAAGAATAAGACAAAGGATATGTGATGTCTTGTGATAAAATTTAAAAGATGACAACAAAAGTAAGAGTTGGAAAATTGGAGGAGAGCTGCTCCATAGAATAACTGAAAATTGGACACCGGATAGCATCATCATTACAAAAAAAATTAAAGCCAATATTAATGCCATTATCTGGAAGAGAGGCACATCCACATCTTATCAGATAAAGAACATACCCAACTCCTAACAACAGGAAAATGTGCCCATTAACCAGACTACTAGTCAATTTTGTTTACAAAAGATGAGTAAAAACAAGATTCAAAGCCCTAAGCTCCTTCACAGGAATTCCACTTACTCACTGGTATAGGTATGTGGATGATATTTAGGTCAAGATTAAAACACAGGAATTGGAAGCCTTCATCAAACACATCAACTCTGTGGACAGACACATTACATTCACTTTGGAAGATGTTAAGGAAAATAGTCTGGCCTTCCTGGGCTGTGTAGTACATATTAAGGAAGACGGAAGTCTGAGCACTGAAGTTTACAGAACACCCCCCCCCCAGACACACATACACACACAAACAGATAAGTATCTACATTTTGATTATCACCACCCACTGGAGCACAAAATGTGAGTGATCAGGACACTACACCACCGGACTGAATGTTTGTCTACCAACAAAGAAAAGAAAAATAACTAAAACATGTCAAGGAAGTCTTCAGAACTTGTGGCTATCCCAATTGGGCCTTCATCAAATCCCCCCCAAAAGACCCAGCAGCAGCTGTTCAATAACAGATAAAGAAGAGAAATATAAACGAAGTAACATTGTCATTCCATATATACACTTTAAACCCAAAAATACACTAAGGCAGAAACTTGAACACTTCAAAGGGGGGACATGATAGCAGTGTTCCAATATATCAGGGGCTGTCACAAAGAAGAGGGAGTCAGGCTATTCTCCAAAGCGCCTGAGGGCAGGACAAGAAGCAACGGATGGAAACTAATTAAGGAGAGAAGCAACCTAGAACTAAGGAGAAACTTCCTGACAGTTAGAACAATTAACCAATGGAACAACCTGCCTCCAGAAGCGGTGAATGCTCCAACACTGGAAGTTTTTAAGAAGAGACTGGACAGCCATCTGTCCTAAATGGTGTAGGGTTTCCTGCCTGTCTGAGCAGGGGGTTGGACTCAATGACCTCCAAGGTCCCTTCCATCATCATCATCATCATTATTATTATTATTATTAAAGATAAAACACCTAGGCACAAATTGAGCAATGTGATATTTGCAGTACAATGCAGTAAGATATGTACAGATCTGTACATTGGAAAAACAAAACCACTTCACAGACGCATAGCACAACATAGGAGAACAGACCCCTTCAGGACAAGATTCAGACAAAGGCCACTCTTTTGAAGATAAAGTCCACATTCTGGATAAAGAGGGCTGCTGGTTTGAAAGAGGGGTCAAAGTGACTATCTACATTAAAATTAAGCAGCCCTTTCTCAAAATGGGGAGGGATACAACACCTATCTCCTATTTACAATAGTCCTTTCAGCAGTTTCAAGAAGATTTTACACCCATTTGCACTATTCAGGTGACTCTAAAGGCACAGATAAACCTCCAAGTGGCCTCAATGACTCTCAGAAAGAGTGCTAACGACCAGATGACTGCAAAGAATATAAATTCTTCCATCCTCCACTGTTCAGTCATAACTGAAGAAGCTTCTTGGATGAGAAGTGAAACGTCTTCAAGGAAAAATAAAGTAGAGTTGCCTTTTGACAAAGATGACTGAGAATCTCCATAGATCTTGTTGCTGTTATTGTAGTGAAACAGTTTATATTCCTCAGCTTCCTCTTGTGGCTAGTGTTAAAATCAAACAATTGGTACTCCTTAGCGGGAAGAGAAAAAAGAAAAAAATGTGTGGACAAAAATGGAGAGAATATGTGTGTGTATGTATGTATGTATGTATGTATGTATGTATGTATATATATATATATATATATATATATATATGATGTAAACATATAAAAAAGTAGTAAAGTGTCCTTCGCCATTCCTTCTCCATTTTCACACTATTCATTTTCCCTCCCCACCTTTTTTTTCTGAGCTTTTTTAGTTTAGTTTATGTGTACTCTTCCTCCTCCTCTACTCTGAATACCTCTTGCTTACCAGTCTGCAGCTGGTCACACTCTTGCCAGTCGCCCAGGTGGCCTCTCACCCTCTCATACATGCCTGCACACACAAACTATGGCTTAGATTTTGAACTAGTGATGGCACCTTAGTTTGGGATATTCAGACACCTAAGCAATGATTGGAAGTGATTGGGACAACATCTTTCAAGTCATCTAGGGCAGTGTTTTTCAATCTTTTCACAGATTGTACCACTTTTAGAACATGACAATATTCATACCACCAGTGCTTAGCAAGGTGTCAAAAACTTGATGACCAAAAAAGAAAAAAAGTACCTTTGTTAATTTCTTCGGTGGCAGTTCCTTTGCTGAATCACTTTCCCTTTGCACTGATAAATATATGATGAATTTATCCATATTTATTAATATGCTCCACTATCTTGGTGGTCAGGTGGCTGGTCGGCCCTTCTTCCTCTCTCCCTCTCCTCTCTCTTTCACAGCCTCTACTCCTTTCAAATGTCTATGGAGAATCTTAGTCATCCAGATCATGGTTGTTCCAAAGGTGCTTTTTCAAGAGGCAACTGGACTTTCTTGGGGTTTTTTTGAAGATATTTGAAGAAGTTTCTTGGATGAGAAGTGAAACTTCTTCAAAGAAAAACAAAGTCCAGTTGCTTCCTGAAAAAGCACCTTTGGGACAACCATGACCTGGACGACTGAGAATCTCCATAGACATTTATTTATGCACTTTGGAATGAACACCCTTCAAATAGTGCGGGAGTATAAACGGATTCTCCAGCATGATGACTGAAGAATCCACCAATGGGTTATTTCAGTCTTCCTGCCCAATCAAACTAAGTTGTCAAGTTGTCATACAGCCTCATTATCTAGTTCCTCCCAGTTTCATCTTAGTCTTTCGCCCATGAGGACGTGATAATTTGACTCTCTTCATGAATAGAGGTCAGACTAGATATTTAAAGCATTGGTGAATTCTTCCTGGAGAATAGGAGAATTAGTTTGGTTGTTCCTTCTCTGGGAGGGTTGGCAATTTTGTTTGCTTTCCTTTCTTTCCCCTTTCCTTGGGAGCAGAGTAGTATTCCTCTCCTGGCTGGGGGGGGTGGCTGCCTTTTCTCCTAACTCATCAGTTTGCTGAGGGTAACATAAATTAATGTGTGTGGGGGGGGGTTGTTCCCTTTCTTTCAGTAGATAAGGAATTTGTTTTGGTCAATCCCCTTTGGAACTGCAGACGCGTTCCTTATAGCAGCTGCCATTTTGAGGCCACGTGGAGCCTTCTCTGACCGTGCCCGGTCAGAGCCTTTCACCAGTGGTGGCCATTTTGGATTCACTGAACTAATTTCTAATTGAAGTAATTCAGGCTATTAGTAAGCTCTGTTACAGCTCGGTGTGTAAATTAGCAAGAAAACCTGTTACTTAAAAATTCATTCCTTTGGCTGCCGGTAAAAGAGGTGAAGCCTCATTTTGCTGAGGCAAACGGATCACGCCTAACAGCTGTTAGGCGCAATGACTCGTTAGTGACTTGAAAAATCGAATTTCTTCTCCTTTTTTGCTTTTTCTGGCATAGGATTATTTAGATTGGATCAGGGATTCGTTTCCCTTTTATCCCTTCTCCTCAAGCGGAGGTAGTTTTCCTTCCTCTGAATTCAGGGCGTCCGCCATTTTGCCACCTACTATTCCATTGAATAACGCCCAGGACAGGCAGGGGCGCCATTTTGGAATTGATTGTTCACAGTTACTACTAATTTGCATTTAAGATTCAGTTTCAGGATCTACTATTCATTTACAATCATCAGATCAGCAATTTTGGTGGAATTATTATTGAAGCAGAGGTCCAGCAGGTCCTGCTCACCATTCCTTGTCTGAGTTCTGCCACTCTGCATCTAGTGGTTGCCTCCAGGATCCTGACCATTGCCACTATTGTGAGACACGTGTGATTTCGTCACCATTCTGATCTGGTTTGCGATATGCCCAGTACATTGGTGATGAGCGCTCCATAGCGCCCAGCGTGAGCCCAAGTTTGCCAGTGGGCTGACTCACGCTTTCTCCATGTGCAGTCAGTCCCTCTGAGGGCTCCTGGCGTCTCCTGCAGAGCGAGTCAGTTCCAGAGTCTCATCTGGGGTGCATTTAGATTGACATGCCAGAACCCACTGAGCTGCAACCTTTGGACACAGACAACACCATGGTCCAAGCCGAGCCGGTTTCTGAGGCGCCTACAGGTAAGGCCAAAGCAAAATCTAAATACGGCAGAAAGGTTGGTAAGACAAGCCATAGGATGGCGACCGAACACATAGAGCTCTGGAGAAGCAATTCTCCCGGGCCCAACGCTTGTCAGCAGAACAGGGTCATACACCT